CCCATTGTTCTGAATACTGCAGGTGGTATAGAATGCCTGTGTGCATATCTTCCACCCCCCCACACTCCCCTTTTTTCAAGACAGGGTTTCTCTGTGTAACAGCCCTGGCTGTCCTGGAACTCACTCTGTAGACCAGGCTGGCCTTAAACTCAGGGATCTGCCTGCCTCTGCTTCCCAAGTGCTGGGACTAAAGGTGTGCACCACCACATCCAGCTCTGCATGTGTATTTTAAACTATTACCTAAAGACCAGGAAGAGCAGCTTGGCTTGATGACACAGATCTGTAATCCCAGCTAGTCAAGGGGCTGAGTCAGGAGGTCCACAGGTTCAAGGCCTGCTTAAATAATTTAGCAAGCCCTGTGTCAAAACAGAAAAAGGGCTTAAGATGTACGTAGCTCGGTGGTAGAGCACTGCCTGGTAAGTGTGAGGAGCCTGGATTCAATCTGCAGTACTCTGTGGGTGTGTGGGTGAGGGAAGGAATTTTTAAAATTGGCACGGGAAATGAGATCAAATAGCTTTGAGCAAATGGGCAGGGCTTTCTGCCAGAGCAAGAGCTGTCACTTTCCATTCCCTACCGCTTTCACCACTCACACTGAGTCACCGGCCCTGTATCTGGTTCCCTCTGGCTATATGACAGAACCCTAAGAGCTTTCCAGGAAAGGCTGACTGGGCATCAGGTTGCAGGACACAATCAGATAAATAATAGATCAATTCAAATCTGTGCCTCCAAGGATCACTGACAAGAGGCCAGCGGCTCTCTTCCACCTACAGAAAAGCCTGAGCCTCGGGCCAGTAAGTCGGGGTGCTGCTAAGGAGTTGTGCCTAACTCTGATACATCTACAGATCACAGGGAACTCTACAGCCCCACTGTTCTGAATGACCCAAGGGCCCCTCGCTTTACACACCTCTCACATCTTTTACTGGTCTGAAGCCTTCCAAGATGACTTCCTAATTCCTAATACCTCCAAACCAGTCTAGCCTCTTCTAAATCATTTTTTTTTTTTTTAAAGACAGAATCTCACTACGAAGCTTTGGCTGGCCTGGACTCTAATATCTAGAGAGGCACTCCTTATGTACACCAGGTTGGCCTCAAATGCAGAGTTCCGCCTGCCTCTGACTTCCAAGTGCTGGGATTAAAGCTATGCACCACCACACCCATCTTCATCATTTAAAATATTCCATTCCATTCTAATCACACAATTTAAAAGTTTCAGAATTCTTTTGGTATTATGCATGTGTTGCATCTTTCTGCTTTTTGTTTGTTTGTTTTGTTTTTGAGACAAGGTTTCTCTGTGTAGCTTTGGAGCCTTTCCTGGAACTCGCTCTGTATCCCAGGCTGGCCTCAAACTCAGAGATCCACCTGCCTCTGCCTCCTGAGTGCTGGGATTGAAGGCGTGCACCACCACCACCGCCTGGCACATCTTTCTGCTTTTGTTTTGTTGGTTTGCGGTGTTGTTTGAAATATGGTCTCAAGTAGCTTAAATTGGTCTTGAACTCCTGCCTCTTGATCCTCCTGCCTCTACTTCCCTGAATGCTGGGGATTAAGTTTGCAGCACCATGAGTGCC